AGGTTTAATGCTTGTTCATAACAAGTTGGTGGACCCCTTGTACAGTATCAAAGAGAAAGAAATTGAGAAAAGCCAGTCTTCTAAGAAACCATACAGCGATTAGCCTGTGCTGGGACCTAGTATCAAGTACCTCATAGGGACAAGCAGGTCTTTCTGGAAATTGTCTTTAGGAGAACAGAATTGTATTTCTTTAATCCAGTGTGGTTACGTCAGATAAGTGGATGAACCTATTGTTCTTGGATTTCAGGCTAGGAGCCTAGTCATGAAGTTTAGCTACAGGGAGAATGATTGTAACTTAATCAGGGAAAAAAAAAAAATCTCTGAAAAATGTACGGTATCATTTCGATGTCTGCCAAACCCGGGTTAGGAGTTTTTAACTGTTCGTTCTGCCTCAGCCACTGTTCATATGTACAACACACTCCAGTCAGAAATTCCTGTCCTTATGTGCACTGATTCTCAAGTGGGAGGGAATTAGGGGTCTGTGTATATTGAACACAACCTCTTTGGAGAGAGTCTTGGGAGCCCCTCTTATACAGGCCTGCCCCCATTTGAGAATCATTGTTCCAGATTAAGGCACAGACTCTCTCAGTATCTAAAATAAGTGCAAGGAAGCAGTCTCTCTGGTCAGTAACAAGTGCCGTGGAAGACAATATCCTTGCAGCCGGCCCCTCAGTGAACTGGGAGGACTCCTTGGGGAAGGGTTTGGGTGGGTGGGGCCAAAGAGGTAGCTTTTGCTGATAAACTCAGAGTCTCAAGGGGCCCAGCCACGTCAAACTTCTCTCCCTCAGGGACCCTCCAGCACCATGAGGAGAAAGGTGGAAGCCCTTTTCCCACAAGAGCCCTGTGTTTGTGTCAGAGGTCTCACTGTGGCTCCTCTCTAACATACTCACTAGTAAGTAGGAGGCCCACTGGGGCAGTAGACACTGCCATGACTTCAGTGTTGTGTTCAGCCGGAGTGAGGTGAGTTTAGTTGCAACGCACGAGTGTCCTGCTCTGCTGCTTCCCTAAGAGTTGAGTGCCAAGACAACATACCAAATGCTTCTCATGCTGTTTCCCCACTTAAAACACCCTGTTCTTGTAGCCCTCTTGGGCTCATGTGGTATGGCCTGATGCTCTCAGAACATCAGGAAATACAATCCTTTTGCCCATCTGTCCTTCACCCGTGGCTCCCGAGATGTGCTATTCCTTTTACTCTTGGCCTTCCTTTTACTCTTAAGCCTTGGTGGAGTGGACGCTGCTGCCTCCTCCCTGATTTGGTGCCTGTTTGAAGCTACTGCTGCCTCTGATTCTGGGAAAGATCTTTCAGAGCCTGGCTTAGGTCTCTCTGTAAGTGTTGTGTTTGGTACCAGTGTTTCGTCTGTAGCTTTTATATGTAATTGTGCTGGCAGTCTGTTTTAAGCTAATGGTTCAATGGACTTGTTTATAATGTGATATTTTCTATTAAATCCAGTATTTTCAAATAAAATGTGTCATTTGTGGATTTCAACTCCTAAATTTCAGAAGGTTTTCTGGGCTGATAATTACATATTTTAGAAACAGCTGGTCAGCAAAGCCTCAACGTGAGTTGCAGGACGGTCACAAGCACAGCGACTGTCTATTGATCTCTTCTACAATCATAAGGGTGAAAAATAATCAAAGATTTTATGAAAATGAAGCACCTATGTGAAAAAGGGCAACCTCAAACTCCTGGACTCAAGCCATCCTCCTGCCTCAGCCTCCCAAGTAGCTGGAACTACAGGCACATACCTCCATGCTCAGGTAATTTTTTCTATTTTTAGTAGAGACAGGGTCTTGCTCTTGTTCAGGCTGGTCTCGAACTCCTGACCTCAAGCGATCCCCCTGCCTCGGCCTCCCAGAATTTGAGATTACAGGCATGAGCCACCACACCGGCAGCCACCTGGGCTTCTGACCTGAGCTACTGCAAATGGCCTCCTAACTGGTCTGTTTCCACCCTCGCTCACCCCGTTCCCCAGAACATAAGTCAGATCCTATCACTCCTCCACTCAAAGCCCTCCAAAGGCTCCCCATCTCAGGGTGGAAGGCAAAGTTCACACAAGGCTCTGTACAGTCTACAGCACCACCCACTCACATCCCGTCTCACTCTTACCTCCTCGGTCTGCTTCAGCCCTCCCCGGCTGCCATGCTGTCCCTGGCGCCCTCTCTCACGTTACTCTCCTCTTCACCTGAACTTCTTTCCTCCCAGGTGTTCACGGGTTCACTCCCACACTGCCAAGCCTTTGTTCAAGAGCTATCTTGATGAAGTCTTCTCCAGCCTTTAAAATCCCAACATTGTCCTGCCTCCCCTATCTCCCTATTCCTTCCCCCCAACTTCTCTCCATAGCACTTACCTTTAGACAAACCCGATAATTTACTTAGTGTCTGTCTCCTTCCACCAGATTTTAAGTTCCATGGTGTTACAATTCCTTGGTTGTAATTAGGAGCTTCATATATAACTTAATTTCCTTTCTTCAGTGTCTGAAGGTTAAGTGAAAGAGTGACACTTTGCTGTGTAACAACTGCATAAGATGTCGACTGTGGTTCAAGTACTGTTTAAAGTGGCCTTAAAGCTTCTGGTAATACTGCTGTTCCTACCTTGCTGGTATCATTAGATACCATTCTGTCTACCAAGGCATAAAACAAACTATAAGGAAACACAATGAGGAAAATTTAAATCCCAGAAATTAAATCTACTTCTGTAACAAAACAACATACCACGCCTAACAAGTTACTGCATTTTTATAACATGGAACTGCTGCCACCTGCTGGTGATGCTTATGACCAAGTTAATACTTGGCAGGAGACCCAAATTCCAGTCAAAATTTTGAAATTCCTGTTTCAAAGCAGACAGCCATATGAGCAACTTTATGATTCCCTTATCTGACTCTCATTACTCTTGACAGAAATATAAATATTAAATATATTAAGGGATTTATAATGTAAATTAGAACCCTCTACTAAAACAACGACCTTGCTGGCAATGTGACAGGTCTGGGAACGTGGCTTGTGAGGCTTTCCTGTGTTCAGTTCTTCGACAGAAGGGCTGCGTTTCAGAACCTGGCAGAGAGGGCAGGCCAGCCCTCTCCACCAGCGCAGGGCCTCGTGGGCCCCGCTGCCTCACGGAACAGTCTGCTCAACTTGTCTAGCAATAATGACTCTTTCATGAAGCTGAGCAGGAAAGTGTTTACAACAGGTGAACAGCCTAAGATCGTATACACAGCCAGTGAAGCATCCTGAGAAACAACTGATTTAAAGCCACGAAAGGACCTCGATCAAAAAGAATTTCATTGATTTGCCGAGCCTGCTAGGATTTGGAAATTGGTCTTCAAGAAAAGTTTTTCAGCCCCTGACCGATCCAGGTGCATCGGGATGTAAAGGATGTTTATATAACACTAGAATGAAAGCGGATGAGATGACTGTGACGGCCAAGAGGAGTCTAAGGAGACCTGATGACCGAATATAACAATGTGGCATTCTGGATGGGATCCTGGGACAGAAAAAGGACATTAGGTAAAAACAAAGGAGATCTGCATGAAGTACGGACTCTTCTTAATCCTAACGTATCAATATTGGTTCATTAATATGACAAATGTACTACACTAATGTAAGATGTTAATAATCCGGGAAACTAGGTGTGGGGTATATGGGAACTCCGTAATCTATTTTTCTGTAAATCAAAAACTACTCTAAAATAAAAATTTCTTAAAAAAAAAAAAAATAGATGGAACAAGATGCACCTGAATTGTTGACAAGGGAAGGCCCATAAGTTAGTTCAATCACAAGCTTAAAATGTCACAGAGCCTCTACTTCAACTTCAAAGAAAAGTTATTTGGTAGTTTACATGTATCAGCTCTAGACACAAGTCTTTTATATAAAAATAAAGAGACATGGCCTCTTAAAATTCCCACCAGAAAGGCCCGTGCAGTTCATGTCAATTTATGGTAGATCTGAGTCCGCTTGTAAAAAAGGCTTTCATGGAATAAGCTAGGTGCAAAACTCTTTATCATACACTTTTTTGACACAGCAACTTTCCGCAAGCCCATGTCTCACAGGGCCTCCAGGGAGTTACCCAAATCTTTCATTTTACTCAGAGACAAAAGTACTCTACCAAAACAATACCATCTTAAAATTAGCTCATAACTCACACCTCAAAAATAAGACTTTACGAGTTCTACTGTCTTTGTTATAATTGGGGGATGAAGACATTGTACCTAAGGAAGAAACATACCCACAGGTGAAAAAATAAGTCTCTGAGACTAAACACCTGTGTTTTTGAAAATCATAAATCGAAAACCCTACCATTTCTTTCATAAAACTGTATTATAAAGGTGACTTTCTTATTTCCATGACATCGTCAACATAAGTACAATAATTTAAAATATAATGATCTCCAGCAAATATCAACCAGCTCATGAACTAAAGAGCTTCTGAGTGGCTACTACTGAAAAACTCTGAATTGAACTCCTATCCAATCAAAGAAATCTCAGATATATATTGTTTAACTAATCATTTTAATTTCCATTTCTTATCTTCAAATTATTTTAACTTCAGGCTTTTCGCCCCCTATTAACTTTGGCATAACTTTTAGTTTTTATATAAAATGGTTTGAATGGAAGTCCATGAAACTATTTTGTTTAAACAAAACATGGGCCCTAAAACCTAAGCTAAGTCACAAGCCCAGGTAAAAGAGGTGCTATCCCATGACTCTTTCTTCTCACTTTAAGAATATGTCATATGCCAGAGTTTTAAAATGTGACCAGTTGCACTGGCGACAGAAAAAACAGCAGCAACTCTGTTCTAATTATAAGATGATTTTTTAAATTATTTTTATTTTTAAGATTAAACATCCTTATTGAAATTCCAGAAACATCATTCTTGCTGATTCTTTGGACACACATACCTAAAAGTTAAAAGTGATTCCTCAATTTTCAATGACAAAGTAGAAAAAAAGAACATGTTTATAAGCTACAGTTCAATTCTTCTGTCTTTTCCAAAAAATCTTACTTTGCTACCAAGCTGCTCACCAAACCTTAAGGAAAGACAATTTTTCAAAAAGCCAACAAAACCCAGAAATAGGAATCTAGGTAGGTTATCAATCCAAAATTATCACCCAAAACACTGCTCTTGCAAAAAAGGGTAGGAAGCCAAATTCCCATAGCTCATTAGTGAAGACCTTTAAAAAGAATTCAAAAATTTAGGACTGAACTACAGTGGTGGAGACAGATTCAAAACGCAGATAATTAAAGAACAGTCAGCTTGGGAATATATTAGGCTTTCTCCTATTCCAACAGGTGAAATAAAAACATGTGTTGCTGGAATATTAAAATTGTTCTTCCTAACAGAAGGTAAAGGGAGAGAATATGGAACGAAAGGTCGCAAAGACAAGTCGTTTTGAATCTAGGCTCTACTGCCCAGGAAAGGTGAATAGAGCTGACTCTTCTGAGCCAGTATGACTAAATTCTACATTTGGCCTAAAACCAGTGGACTGTATATACCACTAATAAATATCAAGTGACCAATAGTGTTTGTGGTTTTAAAAAATACTTTTTAAATTATTATAAATTTCTATTCTGAAAAGCAGACTAAAATGACACCGGGCCATCCAGTCAGTCATAGAATAAAGGGCTCCCTCCAAAGAGAACTAACTTAGCAGAAATTTAGGTTGGAAGGAACGTGAGTAACATGGAGTAAATGAGATCAGGCTGTCAGTAATAAGGCTTCTCACCAACCCTGCTGTACGGAATAGTGCTGAAGGGGCACCCACAGAATGTCTTAGAGGGATGCTTCTCAGAGATCAAATCAGAGGGCTGATTCTCGGAGACAAAAAGGATTTGTCAGTTTAACTCTTGACCTTCTTCTCCTTAAAGGTTGGGGAAGAAAATAAATATTTAATTTTTAACTATTCAGAGCTTTGGGCACATTATAATATTTAATATTCTGTAGCTTTCGTTTTCTGAACCTTTGGCTTATAATTTTTCTCAATTTATGTTACACTTAAATATGTAAGAATGTGCCTTAATCAGTAGTACCACATGAAAATATAAACCTGGTTCTTCCATAGCGTCTACACAGGAAGAATGAATGGTACCCTAAATATTCTTCAGGGTTACTCTGTGTTCGTGACAAAAGATTAGGGCAAACCATTCCACTTCCATATCTTGAGCAGGAGTTAACTAGTCTTCAACCTCATCTTCCCAAATATCTCCATTAACATCCACAGCATGAAACAACCTGGGGGAAACATAAAATAAGGTACAGTTTTATGTGCTTTGACAAAACTGAATATAATTTGCCTTTCCTTCTTTCAAATGTATTTTCTGCACTCTTCTGATAACATCTTTGTATATCTTTTATTCTCCTTTAATCATTCCACTAAGGAGGGCTGCACTCTGAGTCCCTCTGAACAAGCTGCTTTACAGTTTGTGAGAACAGCCCTTTTTTTAGGGTTAGGGTTAGGGTTAGACAAACCCTCTAAGGCCAAGAATAAACAATAAGAGGGGATGGGTAAGACAAAACAGATACTCAATGTATACAATATGTGGAATAAACCAACACTGGGAAAGTGAAGCAATCTAGAAGCAGCTGAACTCTGTCAAGACACTAGATGTCCAATATAGTTCATGGGCAGAGCTATTCCTTCAATTTCTCTTATAGTTTCTTAACACCAGTGTAGGTCCTCTACACACACCTGTTGACAAAGATCATCAACTGATGCTGAAAGCAGAGAGCTGTTGGACAATAGGATATTCACATTATGCCAAGGAATCACCCAACAGAT